ATGCCAGCAAAATCTTGAAGCACTAGAAAAGCATAATAACTATGGCAAAATTACAGTGATGCTAATTCTATGAGCAAACTCCTCATTACACTGAACATTGCTTTTCTTACTCATACAGGTACCACTGATTTATTGCAAAATGCTCTCACTGAGTCCTAATAATCAATGATTCCTTAAGGTCATTGAATAAGTATGGTGATCCTTATGTAATCTGAATGTGTTTATTTATGTAACAAGTATTTATTGATTATATAATACCTGTGGGCAGGAGGTAGGATGGACATCAAGAAAAACAGAGTCCTTCCTTCCTTTTTAAATTCTGAGTTCATATGCCAGAACAGAAAACAAACAGTAAATCCTGAGGGAAACCTGATGGTAGGGTGATGAGCACGTCGGAAATGCTGGTGTGGTGGAGAATGACTACAAAGGATTTACCTTCGTGAGCTTCTCAGGGAAGTCTTCTTGGGTGACTTAACATTTGCATCGAGGCTTCAACAATAAGAATAAGCCACATATTTGTTAAAGGTGATTCATCAATTCGCCTCTAACATATGACAAAGATGAATCACGTAATTTCTACCTCAGAAATGAAAATACAAAAATTATTTTTGAAATACCAACTTACCGAATTAATTTTATAGGCATGGTATGAAATTTTTGTAAAAGCTTTCAAAGATCATCCAAATGAAATTTTTACTCCTATTTTAGATCTACTAGGGATACTTTAAAAGCTTGACCATAAGATGACAAAATAATGTACACTAAATTGACTATAAATATGAAGAATAATTTTACTTTCCTTCTTATTGCATTTTACTTTTTCTTCTTTTTTGTTATTAAGCAATAGTTTATTTGTTCAAGTTCTTGAAAGTGTAAAGGTGTAATATATCCTTCACTGCTGTAAGTTTTTCAGTTCCCAGACTTTATCAGCTAAAATCACCACTCTTAACTATATGGCGACATCAGAATTTATGCAAAATGTACATAAAATAAGTCTCCTGATAATCAAACATTTTAAGTGAGAAGTCTTTTATAAGATTTCATGGTTTACTCAAATTGAACATATAATAAGCAATTCTACATGGTATTTGTGCATACATGAAAAGAAGCATCTAATATTTTTATGTTTTTTGTCACAGAATATCAAATATCTAGCTTTCCCCTTATAAGTGCCCTGGTTCACTCATTGGACATTTCTTGGGTCCTTGTTCAATGTCTTTTATGTGTCAAACATTTTCTAGACACTAAATGCACAGGGGTGAACAAAAATACACCTTCATGCAATTTTATGTCTCACTTCCCAATTGAAATGTTACTTGTAAAAGATGGGGTGAAGTGTTTTCTTACTTTTTAGATAGTCTTGTGATCCACCATGATTTAAATACAGCAGTTTGTACTATCCCAGTTTGATGAGAAATAGCTGTCTTTGCTCTTATTAAACATTCCTTCAAAACACATCTGGTACTTTTAGACTCAAATTTTATTTCAGTAATGACTCTTGCTATTTCTCTGCCACATTATTCCTTACTTTCCTTTTCTGCTCATGTTTTTCCCTTCTAATATTCAACTCAGAATAACATTAAGAATAGATTTTTGTGTGATTCTGATTGCCAAGGAGTAAAAGCTAAAGAACAGAACAGTAAATGAAGAAACACTGCTTTCACCTTTTTAAGGTGTTAAATGTGAAAGTAGTTTATATTTCCACTCCTAGGAACTCAAGTATTATTAATTATTAACTCTCATTTTCTTTCATAATTCTGTTAAAGACAATTCACTCATTACACATTTCATGAGCTCCTGCTGTTAGCATCTTATATCTTTAATGCTAGTCTTAATGATATAAGAATAATGAAGACACAGGTCTATTTGCAAGAAACTCATAGTCTTGTAAGAGACAATAACCCAACAGATGATAAACACTGTGACAGAGGCAGAGTGGCTGAGGCAATTTTATGAAGAAGGAAAGGTTTGGTAAGAGTGCTTAATGGCAGGCAAAGGTAAGATGAATAAAAGTATGGAATATAGAAAATAACATAAAGAAAAGCAAAGAGGCAATCAAAATTTTTTAAAGAAATTATCAACAACACCTTATTGATAAGCAATAATGTGAAGTAATGAAGGTGGAAACAGGCCATGAAGGGCCTCCTATGTCATGTTAATGAAGTAGGACTTGTTCCTGAAAGTATTGGGAATTCATTGCCAGGTTCTAAGAAAAGAGTGACATCATCAAATTTGGGTTCTATACCAATGAATATGGTATGCATTTGACCTGGTTGAGATTAAAGTCAGGCAGAAAAGTTGTGAATGTTCTTTAGAAGTTGTGGTAAAAGGTTCTGAGAAGCTGAACTATGACATTGGAATATATAAGGAAAAATTCTGGTCATTATTAAGTAATTGAATAGTTGTAGGAGTTGAGGAAATGGGAAGTTTGTCTGTCAATGCAGATAAAAGTGAAAAATATATTCTTTCCCTCTTGAGACCAGTGTAAATTATGGTATGGTAAGAGAAAGAATAGTAAATAAAAAACACATTATATATAAAAAAATTCTTGTCATCCTCATTTTACATTCCTTTCAGAATTTGTTTTTAAACACATAGGACCATTTCACATTTAGTGGTCCAATATGTAAGAACCATTTTTATACTTGCTCTGTCAGCTTTCTGTATTCCTCATGACATTTTGTGCTGGACTCCTAACTTCCCCCTGCTTCTTGGATTATAGTTTTATCTTTATCACATTTACTATATTTGATTTGTTTGTAGAACTACCTTTGTCTCCAAGCTGTGGCTACTTCAGTCTACCTTTGAAAAAGAAGTCTGTATTACATCAAAAAGATAAAGCAGAGCCTATTTACTCAGAGATTTTTTAAACAAATGAAATATTGCTTTCTTTTACAAAAATACAAAAAACATTTGAATCATATTCTGCAAATAAAGCAGATTTTTGTATCCTAATTTGATTGAATAGAGTAGGAAAGATAAGCTACAAAAATATCAGTAGCAGATGTTTAATTTCTTTTGTTCTCAAAACCCTCAGCTGATATTTCATTGCTTTAAAAATAAAAATAACTTAGTGAATACAAAAATTTAGTGGTGATTATAAAGAAGAAAGATATCACTTAATCTGGGTTATTTAATTTATTCTAAATGTATAGGGAATTCAAGAAAAATATAAAATAAAAGGCCCTTGCTCTTAAGAAAAAATTCAACACAAAGGTGTGAAAAACAAATGTGAGAAAGTAATCTTAATGTAGGCAGAAAAGATAGGCAGCATTCAAGGGTTATGGACAAGTACACTTGGGTGACAGAGAAAAAAGAGATCTAGTCTTTCCTCTGATCAAAAAGGGAGAAATAAAGAGGTATTTGAATTAGGTATTTGAATTTCTCATCTGTTCCAACAGATGAGAAACATTTCTGGAAAGTCTATGATGCAAGGGTGAGAAATTATAACCATTTTTTTGCAAAATAGCAAATTGCTGACCTTGCTTATAGGCCATGTTGTAAAATGTAGGGCAACAACAGAAAGGAAAGCTGGAAGTTCAGCTAAGTCAGAGCACAGAAGAGCTGGAACATATCCTACGGGTCTATATTTGATTTCATTTGTAATGTAAAGACTAAAAGTTTCTGAGAAATGACCAGTTCATGTGCATAAAAGATTAGACCGGCAGTGGTGCTTTAAATGTTATTTACAGAAAATAGACAAAAGTCTAGAAGACAAACTAAGAGGAAAAGACAAATATTCCAGTTGCAGTGAGGAAGGAAGCAAGGTATTGCAGTGAGGAAGGAAGCAAAGCATGGATGTGAGATGCATTAAGAATGTGAATTGATGAATTTCTGTGCAGATACAGAGTGAAAAGATACAACACAGGACTAAAGTTTTACATTCCAAGTGACCTAAGAGAATGACTAAAATTTTACACAGCGACTCTAAAAGATAAGTGGTTTAGTGATGGAAGATAATAGCTTCATTACATAGCATGTTATATATGTATGTGGTGCCAGGGGACATCATGTAGCTTTTAAGAAAATGGAGTTTATGGCAAAACCTTAGAGCTAAAATGTAGAAAATTGAAGTGTGAGATGAAATGAATTAAACAGAATGAATTCAGAGGGAGAAAATGAAAAGCCAATAGATCGTTAATGATTCAATGTTAAAAAAAAAAAGACCACAAAAGGATTCTGCACACAAGCTTTGTCAGCAACATTAGAAAGCACCACCAACAGCTCAACAACAAAGGATTGATGACTAACAGGATACTGATAATTCTCTAGAAGTTAGCAGTATTGGTCAAGAACTGAAGACAAAACCACAATGCACTGATTACATAGAAATCTCATGAGAAATGTGATAATAAAAGAAATTAGAGACCAAAGCAGTACAAAAAATATGAAGACTCAAGAGCATGCTCTCTTGTTCTAAGAGTGATGTGAATATGCTTGTGGGCTGAAGGAAGTTCTAGACAGGGACAGAAAGAAGATCCAGATAAAGTATTCTAATCAGGTAATAAAAGATGAAATGCTCAAAGCAGTTCAGCTTCTCCTGATCAGGGTTCAGCATATGACCGGAAAAAAATGAAGATGGAAGGAAGAGTAGAAATAAAAGGAAGAAGGAAGGAAGGAAGGAAGGGAGGGAGGGAGGGAGGAAGGGAGGGAGGGAGGAAAGGAAATGTTTGGTAATCCTGAAAGAATGGAAGACTGGGAAGCTATAGACAATGAGGTTACCAGAAGGAATTTTTCAGAGCCAGGGAAACATAGAACAGAATAGTCAGAGAATCATAATCAGAAGACCAATTTTCTGATGCTCTTTTTAAAAATAACTAAAAGTCTTTTTAAGAGAGAAATCTAAAGAGGTTAAAAGCAGAAACTATATCTTAACATTTAGTTCTGATTTTTTTCTTTTTCTTTTGAGTAGTGTCATAACTGGACTAGAGGACTTTCCATGAATAAAAGAAAATAAATGATAAAAATGTATCATGGTGATCGAGAACAATAAATCTTACCTCTCTCAGAGGATCATTAAGTTCATTGAGAATATTTTCCTCATCAAATATTTTCCCTTGATATCTGTGTTCATAGTAATCATGTATCTTCTGACGCATGTCAGCTGGTAACTTATGGAAGGACATATATTGTTCCACTTGCTTATACTGTAAAGAAAGGAAAGAGATTAGAAAACATTGCTAGGCTGTATGCGAAATCAGCATGCCACTTTGTTGTGCTACATTAAATAACATTTGAATACTCAGTAACAAAAAGAAGAAATTCTTTAAGAGGAAGAGAAGTTTCAGTGACTTTCTCTATAACACTGTTATGCAAGAAAAAGCTGATATGTAGCTGTACTAGACAAGTCCTGTCCTTATTTCTGGAGATGTTTGTGTATCTGGTTGCTATTTTGGGAAAACAAACAAAAGAAACAGGGTAGTGGGATACATGATGCACTTTTAGGCTCTTAAACTCTACTGGACAATCCCAAATTAGCTTCTGCACTAATGATTTACAATTAGTCTAAAACCAAGATTGTAGACATTGGCAGTTCAAATCAGAGACTTAAAAGTGCTCCATTTGCCCAGAATTGGATCCATGGGGAATTCATGATGTGGGAAGGGTCTCGGAACACTAGTGATTATGCAAATTCTTTTTCTATAGCTAAATCATATACTTTGCCTTTAAATAAAAGTCTCATAGTAGTATGCCCTGTTGAATCCAGTGAGTCCTGAAAACAATGAAAAACTTTCTCACTGACTGGCATACATGGAAGTTCTATCAATTCTGGCCAAATAAAGGATTCATTTTTCTTTAGGACCTATATGTGTGAAGTCCTTTAAGCTTCCTTTCTACAACACATAGCATGCCCAACTTCTTGGAACACTAAGAATCTGTAGCCTTAACTCACATAGTATGCTTTACATTTCTCCTTCCTTTACCATGCAGTTTCAGAGCACAAAGCACACATTAAAACTTAGTAGTATTTTACTCACTTGGTATAAATCAGAGCTTGTGTGCAAAGACTTACTCCTGAGGGGAAAATGTAATCTGTCCTACCTCCATCTCTGAAATTGGAAAATTTGTCTTTAATTAGCTAAATACAAATGTTACATACAAAGATATCTTATTTTGTATTGAAAACCAGCATTGCCTGAATATAATTTTTTTTCCTCACATAAGTCACTTCATCTTTCTGTACCTCAATATATTAATAGGTTTAATAGGCTCAATTAATAGTTTAATAATAGGTTCTATTGAATATTATTCCTTGTTCTTCAGGTTAAAGTTCCAAAATTCTATGGATATTTATTGTTACTCAAATTAAGTTTGATGTTCAGTGATGTTTAATGATTCATTATTGCATATTTATTGACATAATGAATATGTAATTATTGTGCAAGAATTATTGATCTGACAAATATGAGATGATTTCTGTGTGCCCATGGTTCTTAAATGATCACCAAACCAACAGTATCACCTGGGAACTTGTTAGAAACACATACTCATAGTCTCCACCCCATATCTACTGAATTAGAAACTACATTTGGAAGCCAGCAGGCTGTGTCTTCACAGGTCCTCTACATGCTAAAATTTCAATTCACTGCTCTATGAGTGTGTTATCTTAGGACACAAGGAAGCATATTCGACTGAGAGTAGGAGAAAAATTAATTTGGTTTCGGAAAGTTAAGTTTTAGAGGTTCAAGGCACACTCTCATGCTTATATGTTGGTCAAACACTCAGAGAAGAGATAAATAGGTCATCAGTGACTAAAGAAGCATGAAGGGATAATGTGTCAAATGACATGAAAGGAAGGAAAAAGTGACACTGACATTTTAAAAGCCATTGGGCCATGGAGATTGATCAACTTAAGGGTAGTGTTAATAACTTTCAAGAAGTAAAAGCAGAACAAGAGAAACACAATTAGCAGAACCCACATTTCAAGAGCAAGTGGTTAAAACATGCATGGTCTAAGAAAAGGAGTTGCCAAGAATTTGGAAAGTAGGCAATAATCACTCTTAGGACACAACAGTTATGAATACCAGGAGTGATTTCTTTCTGTCTGTTTCCCTTACACCTAACAAGACTTGCAAAATAAATGAACTTATCACTTCCATGTGATATGACAAAATAAAAATAACAAATAAATTTGAAGAAGATACCTAGTGGCAGTTGGAAAATGAAATAATCTAATGTTGACTGGTAGGAACAAAAGTGATTAATAGAAATGTTTCTATTGGTTGTAGTAATAGAGCATATGCAAAAGATTGCTTGCTATATTTAATACTCACTTCCAGATTTTTGAAAGGCAAAGATGCAAATACAATTCTTTCTAAACATGGAAAATAAACGTTCATTGAAGAGACCAAAAATTTTGAAATTTTATCATTCTAATATTTTGTGTAATTAGAATATATAGCAGTAATACATACATATGACATAAAAAACAGAATATAAAAAGAGTATTTATAATGTATGGTGATAGTCCACTCTAACATCCACTAGTTTTACTCTCCCCATGTTAACAGGTGTTTTGTTCATATTATTAAGCAACATGCTTCTGTTTCTGTTTCTTATAGAAATTAATTACAGGCATCATTCATTGACTTTTGGCATTAAAATGGGATTTAGCCACCTTTAGTTCTTCAATCTTCCTTTTTTCATGGTATAAACATATCAGTAGTGCCTTCCCTCTGTATCCATTGTAATATTATGTAACACATTTACCTTCTATTGTTCAGAGAACTCTGACAGTTTATAGAATGAAAGTAACAAATTCTCTCCTTCACTTCTACTTGCTAACCTCTCTTAACCTCTACCTTACAATGTGAAGTTAGATTATAACTTTGTACTAATTGAACTTTTCAAACCCATAAAATGCTTACCATTTCTATGTAAATATTGATCATACTGCCAAGTAGAAATTTTAATGACATTTACTTTTGTTTCTTGAACATTTAAATCAGTTTGATTTCTTGCACAATTAGCTTTTACTTTAGTCTCACGTTTTCATCAGCCCATATATCCCAATAGACAGATTTTGTTTTCTTTTTTAGAAATTTTCCTGTAGGGTTCTCTTTCCAAAATACTTGATTGGGTTCACTATTCCTAGACCCCAGGCTTCTCTTTTGGTTTATTTGTTGCTGAAACAAATGTGTGAGTAAACAACTAAGAAATGTTATATAAGATAAAGTATTTCTGAATATTTTTATGGGTGAAAATGCAATGATACTTTCAATTTTAATCAATAATTTGGTACATAAAGAATTTTATGTTGAATTTCTTGAATTTCTATATTTCTCTTACATTTTAGAATATTTCCTGAGGTTCTTGGAAATAATTTTCATTCTAGATATTTATTTGCTTGACTTTTCTAATTTTAGTATTTTAGGTTAAAAATAACATAAAATTTTAAAAATTATTTTAAGGTTAGATTTTATTCCCTGAAATATCTGGGATGTCTAAGAAGATATGATTCAAATGTTTCTACCACATTTAACCTCAGTAAAATTTTCAGTGACCTTACCCTGTACACATTTGTGTACATGCTGGGAAAAGGGGATAGAAAAGAGAATGGAAATAGCACATATAACTATCCTTATGAATACAAAAGAAGAGATAGAATGATAATTGATGAAAATAGGGGGCATGGTAAATGTAAGGAATTCCAACAAATCTGAAAACAAATCCATTTAATTTCATTTATATGGTTGTCAGAAGCAAAATATGGCATTCTTGTCAAAACACTGAATCATCTTAGTTTTCCACATATTCCTTCATCTCAGTTCTCTAAGTATCAACAAATCATGTAAATTCTGCCTAACAAAAGTTTCTATAATTCATTTCTCTGCATCTTCATTATTACCATTCTAATCAAAGCTACTTTATTTTTCTCCATAACTCATGACTAGCTTTCTAACTACATTCACTGTATCTATTTGCACCTGTCTTCTTCCAACTCTAATCCATATTCCATTTTAAAACAGTCACCTTATTGGCACTCACTTTCTTCCTCAAAGCCTTTTAATTGGTTTCACACTGCCTTCAGAGTCAAGCTGACAACCTTGGCTGTGTACTTGTATGGTTTTCTGCTGCTTTCTCTGCCTGATGTTGTCTCTCAATCACTATGCCCACTTATAGTAAATTACTGTTTCCTCCCTCTGGAACGTTCTTCCGTTACATACTTGCTTGGCTAATTCAGCCTTCAAATCTCTCCTCTAATGTCACAGGACACCAGGAAAGTATTCTTTGACTCCCTCTGCCACTTAAAATCCTCTTGCTTACACATTTAGAAAGAACACAGAGTTTACCTCTTAGTCATGTTAACAGCACCTGAAATTATATTTTGGAGAACTATTCTTGCCTATCTTATGGAACACTGAATCTGGTGATGCTTAATCTTATACATATTAAGCACCCAAGTGTTCTCTAAATGGGAGTCTAGAGTGTTAGACATTTTCAGAAAATTCTTTGTATAAAAAGGAGACAAAGAATGTAGTACCTGCATACTTTCAGTTGAAAGAGTGGTGTCAGTGGAGAGTATCAGGCAGGGACACTCTCCTGCATGGACTGACAAGTTTTGGTTAGCATTTCATTAATATTGTTTAGCATTCTTTATTATTCATATTTTTAATATGGGAGGTTCTGAACTTTATGACCTACTGTGAAAAATCTAAATTTATCTGTTTTCTAAAAAAAATCGTATAATGTCAAAATCTACATATCAGCCATACTTAAAATACATGTGTAGATGGGAGGGAAATCACAGATTGGAAAAGAAAATTTACCTTATTATTATTCTAGAGATGTTCATAAAAATTAGGAAGATGAAAGAAGTTAATTAAAATATGTGCAAATAGTGTGAGCTTTGATGTTAAGTAATAAAATATTTGGGTGACTGCCTGTACCTTCTATGCCTTCTTTATTATTATTATTATTTTATTTTATTATTCATATGTGCATACAAGGCTTGGGTCATTTCTCCCTCCTACCCCCACCCCCTCCCTTACCACCCACTCCACCCCCTCCCTCTGCCCCCCACCCCCTCAATACCCAGCAGAAACTATTTTCCCCTTATTTCTAATTTTGTTGTAGAGAGAGTATAAGCCATAATAGGAAGGAACAAGGGTTTTTGCTGGTTGAGATAAGGATAGCTATACAGGGC